TCCATAATAGGGGCCCTTTAAATCTTCCTATGCGTGCAGGAGACCGAACTGAATTCAAACTTATTCGCGAACTGATTTATCCACACTTTTATTCGATTTTTCCATATAAACAGAGTAAATCACACAATTACAGATACCATTGGAATTTTACATACAGTATATGTAGTTAATTCCATCTCTGTACTTTCTTTTGTTCATAGAAAGTACCATACAGCAAACAGAGACAGAATAAGATTAATTCTTAGTTAAGCAATAATATATATATATATATATATATATATATATATATATATATATATATATATATAGCATCAGTGCTTCTAATGTATACATTGTGAGTAGAGATGGTCCTTTGAATATGTTCTCTCATTTTGTATCTGATTGTTTTTATATGATTGTCATAGACTAATATATGTAGCTATATTACTATTGATAGTTGTTTTGCAATGTTCTAATGTCTTAAATTGTGTGCACCTGACTGGGGACTGCGGATGAAAACTAGCTTAAGGCTAACTCTGGCACAAAGCATCTCTTCGCAAGACTAATGTATCTTGTGCATTGTCCCTGATAAATAAACAAAGGAAAAAAAAATAATATATATATATATATATATATATATATATATATATATATATATATACAATTATGGATCTGTCGTATAAAGCAAATTACGTCCAAACAGCATTCAGCATGAGAGAATAACAAAGACAAAAATACAAACAAAAAAACAAGAACAGCAACATAAACCAAAAAAAAAAAACTGGTCATCCAAAAAAATTATTCAGGTTAATATCACGTGTAAGAAGATTCCTTACTGCCAGAGGCGATATAGACAGTCGTTTAAAACCATTTCCTACACAGTTTAGGAAAGGACCCCAATTCATGTAGAAGTTGTCAGAAGAACCCTTCATTGTATGCCTGATTTTTTCTAATTCAAAGAAATAAAAGATATCATTAATCCAAAGAGAAATGAATAGGAGGTGTAGACAATTTCCAATTAATTAAAATTCGGCATCTTGCCAGAAGAATGACAAAAGTCTTATATTTGGACATGTTAAGTGAAAGAGAGAGAGTCCCAAATAAAGCTATAACAGGCAAAGGTTTAACATAAATTCCAAGAACTTCAGATACTGTTTTAAATATCAGAGACTGATATTTGTGTAGAGGTGGACAAGACCAAAACATATGCGTAGAAGATGCAGGGGCTTGATGACAGTGATCACACATGGGATCTACCTCAGAATATATTCTACAAAGTCTAACTTTGGTCCAGTGGGTGCAATTAAGGATTTTACACTGCACCAGACCCATATGTGCACACAACATAAAAACTTTTCCCATTGTTCTTCTGGAATATTTTCCCCTATGTCCTCCTCCCACTGAGATTTAATAGATGCGAAGTGAACTCTCATGTAGGGAGCAGATTGCTGCATAAAAATGTGAAATCATACCCTTCATAACATGAATAGGTTTGAGGAAGGGGTCAATGGGAGGGACACTAAGGAGGCAAGGAAACTGAGGGTGTATGTCCCTATCAAAAATACAAACCTACAAATATCTGAAAACAAATATGTGTTTGGGCAATGCACATTTCTCCTGTAATTGCTGGAAAGATGCAAATGTGTCCATATAAAAATAATAAACTGTAATAATACCCAATGCTGACCACTGGGAGAAAGTCCTATCCATTAATGATGGTAAGAAAGCAAAATTTGCTGGTATAGGTGCAGAAATAGAGGAAGCCAAAGTGTCTGAATTGCCTACAAATTCTCAATTTAGATTTAATGATATTTTTTGGTGTAGGGAGAAGATGAGCATTTAATGGGAGCATGTTCTAAGGCTGCTAGCAAAGTAGGCATATATGAGGTAGCTTCCATGGCAAGCCATACAAATAAGTCATGAGAAAAATCTTGATTTAACCAGTATTGTATGACCCTAAGATTTGTGGCCCAGTAAAACAACTGAAAGTTAGGTAAAGCCATTTCCCCAAGTATGTTAGGTCTCAGAAGGAATGCCTTACGGATTCTGGGGTTCTTTTTATTCCAAATAAAACAGCAAAATTACGGAATCGATTTGGCGAAAAAAGTTTTGAGGAATTTTGGAAGGATATTCATTTTAACCTTGTTGATTCTTCCATCCAAGTACAGGGGAGGCAGTGACCAGTGCTCAAAATCTTTCTCTATCTTGAGAAACAAATTAGCAAAGTTACATTTAAAAAGGTCTGTATCTGTGATGAAAACTCCAGGATAGGTAAATCTATGTTGGGAGATTTTAAATGAAAAATTATGTAAAGGGTAGTTCCTAGCTGCAGAGTTCAGTGGAAAAATCTCACTCTTGCCTAGATTTAATTTATAACCAGAGATTGAACCAAAGGACTTTAAGACAGCGCTGTAGGTATCGACATATCCAAATCTGAAATGGAGAGAAGAAGATCATCCGCATACAAAGACACCTTTTGTTCTGTACCCATTCTTTTTATGCCTATTATAAAAGTATCAGATTGCAATAGAGAGGGGCTCAATAGCAATGGCAAAGAGAAGTGGACTCAGAGGGCATCCCTGGTGAGTGGACCGGTGAAGGGAAAATTATCCTGAATGAGTATTATTTGTCTTGACAGAAGCTTGGGGGCCAGAATAAAGTAACCTCACCCAAGAAATAAATTTGCGACCGAAACCAAATTTTTCTAAAGTGTAAAAAAGTTACTTCCACTCCACCCGGTCAAATGCTTTATCTGCATCTCATGTAATTACAGCCTCTGGGACAACAGAAGAAGAGGGGTTGCTTACAATATTTAAACAGTCTCCTAATATTAAAAAATGAGTGTCTATTTTTATAAAACCCAGTCTGAATCGGAAAAATAATGGATGGTAAGATGGACTCTAAACGAAGTAAAAGTACAGTTTTTCCATTAGAAATGGACTCGAGTTATAGTAAAAGTACATTTAAAATTAAAAAAAAAATACTCGAGCAGGCTAAATGTAACAACATACATGTACTTTGGTATACCCACCTCTATATGAAATACATATTTTCTATGGTTTTGTATATTACATTTTTCTAAAATTTCATTTTCAAGTGTTGAGGAGTAACTATTCTACATTTGTTAGTATCATGCCAGAGTAGCTTTTTTAATACTATCATTTTAAATACATGTTACTTGTAATGTATATGTTGTAGCTATACATAACGTTGTAGTTACGTTGTAACTACTTTTTCAAAAGAGCTTCACTTTACTTTGACTACTATAGTTTGTTGTTAGCTATTGTTGTTTGTTGCTAAGTTAACACTGTTTGACACAGTAAACAAAAGAAAATCTAGGCTTTTTATCAAAATGTTGTGATTTTTTTCCAGGCATTATTTCAGTTTTTTACAGTTGTGTGTACAGTTTGGGAGAATTGGTACCTCTTCTAAACCTTAAATGACAGGCTTCGCCCAGTTTGGAACGGGTCATGGCTTGGGCAGGAAAATTAGAGACTGCAACTAAAAAATAAGCCAAAAACGATAACATTCACAAAGGCATTGTTCATTTTTTCAATACTGTTTATTATTGGATGTTAAAGTCGGCATGAAATGGAAGTTGCAATAGACGGCATGATTATCATAATTTTTAAAAATAATGATGTGCACAGACAAATCATTTCTAATAAATGCTGCAACATTCCATAAAAAAATAAGTTTAAAAAACATATATTTTCTCTATACATGAATACATTCTGTATTTAAAGGATTAGTTCACTTTTGAAAAAACTTTTGCTGATAATTTACTCACCCCCATGTCATCCAAGATGTCCATGTCTTTCTTTCCTCAGTCGAAAAGAAATTAAGGTTTTTGATGAAAACATTCCAGGATTTTTCTCCATATAATGGACTTACATTGGAACCAGACGGTCCGAGGTCCAAACGACAGTTAATAACAGTTTCAGATGCAGCTTCAAATGTCTTTAAACGACACCAGACGATGAATAAGGGTCTTATCATGCGAAACGATCGGTTGTTTCAAAGCTTATTCCAAAAATGTAACTTTTCTAAGGACAAATGCGCGTTTGTAATGTCACGTAATACGTAATTACGTTCAAAAGGTCACGGGCGACGTAGCCAGAAGTACAGAGTCAGAGTGTTTACAAGTTGAACGCATAGGTTGAACGTGCAAACTAACTCAAACGCCGTTTACAAAAATTAAAAGGTAAAACAACGATGTCGGACGATTTTGATTCTGTACTTCCGGCTACGTCGCCCGTGACCTTTTAAACGTAATTACGTAATACGTGACGTTCCAAACGCGCCTCACAGAATAGAGCAACGCTAGCATTTGTCCCTAGAAAAGTTACATTTTTGGAACAAGTTTTGAAATAACCGATCGTTTCGCATGATAAGACCCTTATTCATCGTCTGGTGTCGTTTAAAGACATTTGAAGCTGCATCTGAAACTGTTATTAACTGTCGTTTGGACCTTGGACCGTCCATTATATGGAGAAAAATCCTGGAATGTTTTCATCAAAAACCTTAATTTCTTTTCGACTGAGGAAAGAAAGACAATGGACATCTTGGATGACATGGGGGTGAGTAAATTATTAGCAAAAGTTTTTTTCAAAAGTGAACTAATCCTTATAATCCTAAATTATCTGGCATGGCCTATCTCTGTAAAACTAACAGCTTGGAAAAATTCAGTCTACATTCCAGTCTGACACTATAGAACCTGGAGTCTACTATGAAACAGACACATATGGAAAATATCTCTAGGCATAATGTCAATCAAATCCACATATGGAAAAGGGTGAAATGAATCTCAAGTTTGTGAGTTCAACATCAACACCTCTGAATGGAACTCCCTCTAAAAACATTCCCTAATTTAGATTTTCCCTACCTTTCCTGAAATCCAAACTGCTTTTCCTGTTGTAGTTTACAAAACCTTTTCTCTTTGAGATTTACATTTACGATTTGCTTGCTGACTTTATTGTACCATTTGTCTTTACCACTACCCTCTCTGCTGTGTCTTTCAGGCTCTAAGAGTTTGGTTGAAGTTCAGACTAAAATGTCGGTTTGTGGTGGCCTTCCTTTTTTTCTTCAGTCTGACAGTGGCGATGATATACACCCTTCCACCCTTCCCATCTGAGGAGAGCAGGGAGAATCTACGGGGCCCCTGCAATAACAAACCCAGCGAGCTGGTGGAGACGTGGTCTCAGAAACCTTACCTTTCAGTATCTTCATATGGACAGAACAGCAGAACCTCGAAGAACCTTGAAATGAAAGACTCCGCTAAGCATCTCCTGATGGTCAACCACCCCCAACTATCATTTTCCTCCGGAAAACAATTTCAGGAAAAAGTATCAACCGAAAAGCATCCAAAAAGTAAAGTAAACAAAAAAGAACGATATCTGCAGGACACAAACAAGCCATTTGCAGCCAGTGCCAAACGAGGGCGAGCCAATAGACTAGAAAATAGCAATAACACAACCATCCATCTTCTTCGCTCCACACGTGACCCTCAGGCTGCCAGCATCCAAAGCCTCCGCCCAAATAATAAGACATGCAGGCACAAATGCACTCCAGATGGGGACAGAGTAAAGAGGGTTGTGGGGCAGTTCTCGGATACACAGCAGGTGGTAAAACTGAAACAGGCCCCTGGAGAAGAGGGAACACATGAAAGACGAGCAGGGCCCACAGAGAGGAAGAGGCCCAAATCCGGGGCAGAAAACAACGATGGGATTCCAGCAAAGGCAGGCATCAAGGAGTCAGCCACTGACTGGTGTAAGACTGTCTCTGATGAGGCTTTTATTGAAAGCTGGAATCGGACCAAAGTAGAGACTCTACCCTGGTTCAGTGAGGATGATGTGAAAAAGATGGTGCTTCTCTCCAGCGGCACTGTGTTGAGTAAAGCCAGGCTTCCAGGCCATGGCCAAGTGCTTCAGGTTGGATTCAGTGATAGATATAGCATTGTTGCTTCTGCAGGGGACAATCATATCAAACGCTGCGAGACCGGAAGCTGTGCTCTCATAAAACGCCCCAATGACTGGTTTGAGGTGTTCGCCTTTCACCTGGACAGAGTCCTTGGTCTGAACCGGAGCTTGCCCGCAGTGTTGAGAACATTCCACAGTGAGATTCTACCATACAGGTACACAACTGGGTCTCCCAGACCAGTGGTATGGTGGGATCCCAGCATCCAGCATCTGTCTGATGCTGACAACGACCAGAACTCTTTTTCACTTACTTGGCCACAATATCAGACTCTGCTTAAGAGCAGGTGTGGTGCTTGCGTACCGTTGAACTTCACAACATGTGTGGGAGTTCATCATTCAGAGTGGGGGCGGCTGGCCTTGTTTGACTTCCTGCTGCAGGTAAGAGGCACTGTGAAAAGATATTACAACATTTTGGATATTTGGTTTGCACAAAATATTTTCTGAGAGTAAATTGCATATGTACACAAGACAATGTGATTATCTTATAATATGAATCCTAAAAAGATTGGGATATGTAGAAAATAGAATAAAATTGGTCACTAACTTAAGTTACAGTTTATATGCATTTTGATCATGTCTTTGACCGTTGTGGTTAGAAACTCTTTTATGAGTCACCACATTTAGGCCTGCCAACTACATAATGGTCTACCTGCCAAGCCTGGTTTTTAAAGTAATTCATGTTTTCCATTTTTAGCATTGGCATTTTTCCTGTTTTAGATTTCAAACATGTTTTTTGAAGACTTGCCCCATCTGGCATTGTTTAGACTAGTAAGTTTTGCCTCAAAGTTAAGTCTGATTTTCAGATTCAAAATAGGTCTGGAGTTGAAAAAACAAACAAATTTAAACCGGTTTAAAACAAGTTCAGGGGTCTCAAATGTTCACAATAAAAGTTCTCTGTCAACTCAGGGTTTGATCCACAGTTGAATCTCTATTATAAGAATGCAGCTTAAAGACTCAACTGGAATATTTAGGTTCACAACAAGCTTATAAGAAAGCATATAAGCAGCATAAGCTTAATCATTTTAAAAGTTACATACAGTATATATTCAAAAGCTTTTAATTTAAATTAATATTTGCACATGAATAAAAGCTTCATAACAATATTGAAAAAAACAAACTTAAAATTGCATGCTGTCTTTAGATATTACTAGGAAAGGAGAAAACAGTTTAAAGAAAAACATTATTTTTACACACTTCACGTTTAAGAAGTTTCATATAAGGCTGCTTTTCTTTTCTTCCTGGTCAGCTTTCTAATGATAGCTCTCAGAATGATTTTTAATTAAAAATCCTATCACTGTGAGTGCAACAAGTCAACCTAGTTGTTTAAAACAATGTTTGTGAGGGATAACCAGCCAGTTACTATAACTGAATCACAGGCAGTTTCAAAATGTATTTGAATGTGTGCATTTGGCATGAATTTAATGAAACGGTGATGTAGCTCAGTTTAATTATCTCTTATCAACCCATTGTTTTTATTACATTTATTTATTTTTATTACATATTTTGTAGGATTTATATATATATATATATATATATATATATATATATATATATATATATATATATATATATATATATATGAAGAGTTCAGATGCAAAAGCCTCTAAATGCCATTTGAAATTTTCTTCTAAAATTATAATTTTTATCAAGCTTGTATATTTAAGTTCAGTAATTTCACTTAAATGGCAATGAAGATTACCTATTAATTGTCATTTAAGTGAAATTACTGGACTTAAATATACAAGCTTGATAAAAATGGTCATTTTAGAAGAAAATTTCAAATGGCATTTAGAGGCTTTTGCATCTGAACTCTTCATATATATATATATATATATTTTTTTTTTTTGCTTCTGGAATAGGTAACTCATCCTGAAACTCCTGTAGTCTGAGCCTGGCTTAAAACAGTACAAACTCCACAAAAGAAACTCCAAGTTAATATTTAATGACATTTTTGTACTGTTAATTGCATGGAATGTCTTAAAAATGCTTCCTTCTGTGTTAAAATTAGTCAAAGAGAGCTACAATTGACCTATGGCTAAGCCACGCCCTCAAACGCGATGAACCAATCACAGTGCACAGCTAACCCAATACATTCGGACATATTCTGCTTCCACGTCCATTGAAATGGATTGCAGTTAGTCAGTTTTCATTCGTTTTTTCTTGTCATTTTAAGTTTAAAATGGTCAAACGGTGTGCATGGGGTGCAACTCCGACACTAGGTTCCCGAGAGGCTGGGCGACGGTGTGTATTTTTACCCTTTGCCAAGCCCGTTCTCAACCGAGATAAGAGTCTGCCTCTGGATTAATGTTATGCGGTAGACCACAACACCAACTAAATGTGGATAAATTAAACAAGGATGTCTACATCTGTTCTAAGTTGAGTACTTGAACGCTATCTTTAAAATCTCCAACGTAACGTTTGGCTAACGTTAGCCTAACATTAGAAAAGGTTAGCTTCTAGCTGCTTTTCATCGACCTTCTCAACAATAAAATTATTAAAGGGCACCTATTATGGAAAATTCACTTTTACATGGTGTTTGAACATAAATGTGTGTTGCAGTGTGTGAGCAAAACCACCCTAGAATGATAAAAATCCACCCAGTGTTTTTTTTACAATCTCAATAAATCATATGCACTGCCTCAGAACGAGCTGTTCTGAGATTCAGCTCTTTGTGACGTAGAACGGGAGACAGGGGGTTGATTGACAGTGTGGCTGTGGCCTAGACCCCGCCCTCGGTGATCTGTACGTCCTCCATTGTTTCAACGACGACAGCCGGTAATGTCTCTTGGAAACATAAGTGTTCTGTCGTGGACTCGTGGGTTAATCCTTTTGTTGTAGCTTAAAAGTTAATCCTCAACTGTGGATCATCATCTACTGTTTGCATATTTGCGATCCACCGTCACATCCAGTAACAGTAAGTGTGTTTTATGATTTTTGAGCAAATCGTTTTTTCAGTCAATGTCAGCCAATTCAACAACAAATGCGTCTAAAGTTGTTGTCGTTGTAGGATGTCTGTGTGTAGGCTATATAATGTAAACCTTGTTTGTATAGTGTGTAACCACACGTTTATATATATTTAAAGATATTGTATTAAAAACTGCATATATGTTGTTGTTCTGTATGTTAGCCATCTCCTCACATTTGCCACAGAAGCACCCCTATGACAAGTAAACATGACGCCACAGGTCCCCGTCCCTCGAATAAATGTAATTTCGCTTGTACGTAGCAAACTTTATCACAGTATGTGTATGTAATTTCAAAAAAATTGCGCCAGCATTAGTGTTTATGTGTCTGTGTGTGTGCAGCCCATTCTCACCCCCAAGGCGTCACTTAACTGACGCCTTGGGAAGCATTTGGACATGCTTCAATATCTGACGCTTTAGGCGCCCTTTAGCGTCAGTTAGATGACGCCCTAGGATCGCGTGTACCCTACCCCCACCCCACACCTAAACCTAACCGCGTCCTCTAACTGACGCTTTCCTTTAGCGTCAGTTAGATGACGCCGTAGGATCGCGTCATGTAAGTGACGCTAAAGGGCGCCTAAAACGTCAAATATTGAAGCATGGTCAAAGGTGACGCCTTGGGGTGAGAATGCGTTGGTGTGTGTGTTGCACATGCCCGTCATTTCAAAGGGAACGCGATTGCAACGCTAAAGTACATAAATGTATCAAATAACCATACCGAGACGTACTGGTCCATTCTCATTTGTGTTTATTCTGCCGGAGTCTCTTCGTGCTATTTATATAATCCGATTCAAACGTACGCTGTATGACATTCAAAACAGCGCGTCTCTCACTCTCTCAGCCCTTCTGCTTACCGACTGCCATAGGTATCAAGTTACGCCCTCATCCAAAGGCAGGGCGGGGATATGCAGCTCATTTGCATTTAAAGCCGTATACCTGCGAAACAGGTCATTTTTAAGCAGGCCCCAAAATGACATTTTCAAATGGTTATAATAAATTAACTGTGGGGTATTTTGAGCTAAAACTTCACAAATACATTCTAGGGACACCAGAGACCAATATTAGGCCTACATCTTGTAAAAAGGGGCATAATAGGTGCCCTTTAATATACACCTCAAATGCATAGTTAAGGCCCTTTAGGTGACTTTGAGATGATATATAATCTTTCTGTCTCCAAAAACCACCAATTTCCTCCTGTGAAATGTCTCTAACTGTGACAGCTGCCATCGCACCTGTCCCCGAAAGTTGACTGTTTGTCCAACCCGATCTCACAGGAATTCGTACGAATTTTACGAGGTGGCTAATTCGTAATAATTCGTACGACCTCACTCGTACGAATTAGTACGATTTTGCTAAATCGTACATATTTTACGAATTAGCCAATTTAGACAAATCGTACAAATTCGTACGAATTAGCCACTTTTGAATCACTCGTATGAATTCGTACGAATTGGTTGTGAGATAGCGTAGGTTTATCCTAGTGAGTGGAGGGGGCGTGGCTTAGCCATAGGTCAATTGTACTTTTGTGAATATTATCATAAAATCACAAAACCACAAAGGAAATTTCAACCAGTCACTTTCACTTCAACCTGATCATCATAAGTACACGTTGTACTTATACAAGTACACAGTTTTTTTTTCTATTATTTATGTTTAAAATTTGAATTAAACGTCACCATGATGACAATGATGATTTTTTTTTTTTAAATTGCTGCTATGTGGAGCAAAAAGTGGAGGAGAGGAAGAAAAGTGTAAAAGACATCATCTAAACCTGTTAATGAGGTGATACCTAATCACAATCCTCATGTGATCAAGATATTAGATATATTATCATTCACAGTGAATGAAATTTATGATTCTAATTTTGCCAACATAAAATAAGTGTGCGTGATGCTCTGGGAATTGCAGTATTATAAAAAAAAGTATTAATTTATTTATTTGTTTTGACCTTTTTTTTTCACTTTTTATCATTTTGTCTGAAAAAGTTACACTGCAAAGCTTTCAAAAAATCCAATATTAACATCCAAGGCCCAAAGGTAGTAATATATTTAATATACCCCAATATTTAAATACATGTCAACAAGTTTTTCAAAGTCTGGTTGTTAAAGCATTATCCCCAATTCTATATTGTTACAGTCACCTACCAATCTGTTTGAACCATGTCATGTATGATCAGTGTCGGGTAAAGTTTCCTTTTAAAAGTAATGCATTACAATATTGTGTTTGTCCCTAAAGAAGTAAGTAATTGCGTTATTCAGTTACTTTTCATGTGTAATTTAATTTCAAATTAAATGTGTCACATTACTTTGCATTACTTTTTTTTCATCTGGCCTGTTTGTTTGTTTGTTTGTTTGTTTGTTTTTTTATATGAAAAAATAAACTTCTGTCAGGATTTACTAAAGACACGCATTGAAA